GCCTGGTGGATTCTTGCAAATGCTATTAGAAGCACTAGGAGGAGTCAGAGGAACATGATTTTTTCACAGATCATCTGTCTCATGTTCTACTGTCAGGGTATAATGAAAGTTTCAGACAACATGACAAAGATAATTTATTATTTTTTTATGCAAATACTCAAATAAAGTACAATTACCTCAACTTACATACAGTACTTGAGTAAATGTACTTAGTAATATCCCACAAGATTTTCATTTTTGCTAAAAATGTTAACGGTTCCAAATATTGGTTATTGGTTTCCTTGATTACTGATGATGAGTATCTGTATAGACCCTTAAAACACCATATCAGTCGATCCCTAATATAGTGCCTTGATTGTGCTATCATTTGGTACCAGCCTGTAGTAATTCTGTCTTCTAGACAAACAAAAAAAGTCTTGTTGAATGCTTCTAGCGCTGTGCTTCACAAACATGCGTACACACCTATAAATCTCCACAATTATGGAATTGTGGCCGGCATGTTGACCTGGTGCATACCTCTTGAAATTTGGCCTGCGGACATATGTTGGGTGTGAATGATTAGTTTGTTTTAACCCCGACCCAGTCACACTCTTCGGCCTCTTCAAAGCACAACAGCAGTCAGATAACGAACGTATTAATTATTTAGTATAGACACACTCATTCGCAGAGAACAATGTGGACAATTAGCTTCTTAATTAGCTTTTGTCTACAGTCTGAACACAGGACAAATCATACAGAGTTCAGCATCAGTCTGCACAACTTGACAAACTATAGAGTGAGTGGTTCGGATACCTTTGATTGGGAATTCCATTTCCAGACTAAATAATGAGTGGTGCGGTTTCCCTCAGGCTCTAATCCTCTGTAGACTGACAGGCTTTCTTGTTGAGAGTGCTACAATGAAGATTGAAGTATGAATTACACAGTCTGATGTATTGGATAAATGGTTCCGTAGTTCCCATACATCTTCATTATGAGCCCCTTATTGAATCAATGGTTGAAACATAATGGCAAGCACTCCATTTAAAAAATGGTCCATGGAAAGACAGTGTGTTTGTGCTAGACTGATTTACTATTGCCAAATGATTGATTATAGATTTTTCCGCATTCCTGTCACTTTCTTTCACTCTGACATTCGGTTAACGCATTGAATATCTGTATGACAGTGCCGAGAAATATTGATAATTACAGTGGTGATAATTAGCTCTCATAAATGGATATATAGGTGACTTTCTCATCTATCTGTCACACACGAACAAGTCTGTATGCATTAAACAGGCTCACTATTGTTGGCAACCGTTCTGTCTTAGTCAAATGTAGGGCAGGGTATCAAACCTACCAAAATATTCTTGTGGTGTGTCCATAACACCATTTACTTTTATTGAAGGTCTGGTTAGATAATTGGTGTTCTTTGATCAGATAATTACTGATGCAATGGACTATTTTAAACTTCAGGGTTCAACGTCAATGTTGCCCCTGACTTGCAAGTAGGTCAGAAGTCTACTTGCCTGAAGTCAATTTTAAGATGCCCCTATACAAATAGTTTTATTTGTTAGTGGTTAGTAGAATTAGTAGTGTAAACCAACCACCATCGTCCTTCGAGCTCCCAGTACAGGTAGAGTCAGCTAATAGGACCCAAGTGTGAACCTATCGTGACGTCACCCATTGGTTTGTGGAATACTGTTCTGAAACCTCGAGTTTGGTATTATGGTCATCATCATGGCGATTTTTCAGAGCCAGCGGAGGTGACATACTGCAAGTTGAGCGGCTCTTATTGGCTGCTCAGTTTGGACTCTTCCGTTGCAGGAAACATTGTGACCCTCCTGGTCACACACAATCTTGTATTCCAGACAGTACACTAAAATATGTTTGAAACTATTTTAGGTGAGAAATAGACAACACAGTGACAGAATCTTGATTCATACTTGATCAGTTTGATTTGAGTTTCGTGCACTGCACTGGACAGACTGACTAGTATATCTTGTCAATGACAAGGTAGCCACGCCCTCAAGCATAACCTGCTTTATGGTCTATTTTACTCTAAATGGGACCATCATTTACTCAATGAACAGCATGCTGTATGGGAGAAGACTGAAACTAGAGATTGAGACCATAAACTCATTAGGAAACTCTTTACTGAGCTAATAAATCAAGT